CCCCCCCCCCCCCCCCCCCCCCCCCAAAAAAAAAAAAAAAAAAACGGTTCTTCCATCTATTTTCCTTTTCATCTTTGTATTTAGATATATAGCAGTTGTTTGAATCTTGGAATTTATCAGGTGGTCTGCCGATAAGGACTGGGAAAATTGTGGTCAAGGTAGTGATTTTGGCTGGATACAGATCGCAGAGCCAGTCATGAAATTATATACAGAAGCAACTGACGGCTCTTCTATTGAAACCAAGGAAAGTGCCTTGGTGTGGCACCACCGGGATGCAGACCCTGATTTTGGTTGCAGTCAGGCCAAGGAACTGTTGGATCACCTTGAAAGTGTGCTGGCAAATGAACCAGTCGCTGTAAAAAGTGGTCAGTTTATTGTAGAAGTGAAGCCACAGGTATTTTCTTCTATTAAGTTTCTAAAATAACGCCAATTGAGCTGTTCCTGAATTTTTTTGGAAAGATAGAAACAAATTCTCTCGCTCATTAAGAGTCTCTGAAGATTGATTCAAATATGTATTATTACTTTTAGGGAGTCAGTAAAGGTTTGGTGGCAGAAAAGATCTTCACTTCAATGACGGACGCAGGCAGACGAGCTGATTTTGTGCTATGCATTGGTGATGATAGATCTGATGAAGACATGTTTGAGATCATTGGTCATGCAGTATCAAGTGGCGTCCTCTCTTCCAATACATTAGTTTTTGCCTGCACAGTCGGACAGAAACCAAGCAAGGCCAAGTATTACTTGGATGACACAACTGAGGTCATAAACATGCTTGAAGCCCTTGCAGAAGTTTCAGACATTTCTTCTCCTCCAGAATCCCCTTGACATATTTGCTCCATGGTGGCGTAATATAACGTCCTGCAGTCTCTTCTTCTCCTAAGCGAGTGACGAAACTGACCTCGCTGGCTGGTGATTAGTATCGTATTCATTTTCGGCTTGTTGGAAATGGAAATGGCTTGATATATACAAGTGGGATGCTAAGTATGAAATAGGGGGAAGCATTCAGTCTAGGCATTGGGGACTCGGATGGGGATGGAATGGAATTTATATGGGCCGACTGACTGACTGACTTGGGAGGATGTAACAGAAACAACATAGAGGAAGATGGCTGAATGATTTGTGAATAATTCGAGGCACAGCCATTGATATTTACACGCTGGTTTGAAGTTGGCAGTCTCCAGGGAGTTGTTATCTCACAACCTTTCGTTTGATTCCATACTAAATCTTTGGGTGGTGGGATGATGATCGGAGTTCGAGTAGAAAGTGAGAAACAGAAGAAGCCTGAACTCGTTTTGTTCTGAAAACTGTACCAAAAATGGACAACATGAATGATGTCCTTTGTCCTTTTTCTTGTTAAATTCTTGAGTGCATTTGTTTTCTCAATGTTGTTACTTGAACCATTTTCATTTTGCTCACAAGAAATCTGTAAATTTCCTATATTTTGCTAAGATTTGCACTACATTTTTGTTAATAAGAATGTGTTTTGCGACGTGGATTCCAAGCATAGGGTATGTTGTGGGATGAGCTTTTTCTTTGTTTGAGTTAAGAACACTAAGGTCTCATATTGGTTGGAAAGGGAAACGAAACAATCGTTTAAAACTTTGAGGGAAAGCCCGTAAGAGAAAGTCCAAAAAGGATAATATATCTTAACGGTGAACTTAGACTGTTACAAATGGTATTAGAGTCATATTCCGAACGATGTGCCAGTAAAGATGCTATGCCCCCAAGAGAGGGGATTGTGAGATTGGAAACTTCTCCATTAATAACCGAGATTTAAAGCTTTGAAATGAAGGTCAGTAGCCAGGGTGGGAACACTTGGTTCAAAAGAAAAAGAAGAAGTCATGATAGTGTTGTTCAGAATTAGTTCATTTATTTATTTTTCAATAATATCATCATGTTCTATGCTAAGGACCTTACTTTAAGATTATATATATATATTAATATCATATGTCTGACTGTATATTACAATGCAGATATTTATACAATTCATTGAAAAAATTCAAAATAGTTTACAGTTCGCTGCATCAATTCTGATCTAACGGTCATGGAAGCTTAGAACCTAACGGCTGAGATTTTCCGAACAATCGATCTCCTTCGTTCCGAGTTCCTACCCGCCATCGACTTTAGCGACTCGGCGGCGATAAATAAACCCGACTCTGTACCACCGTCTCTCCAATCTTGAAACCCGGAACGACGGTGAACCTAACTCGGGGCTCCGACCCGGATCCTACGGTGGAATCATTCATGTCCGCCGGAGAAAACAACGTTTCTTCGGTAACACATTGCATGTAAACTTCTGAGAATCTGCTGTTCTTCCTCACTTGGAAGATCGTAACGTCGTTGTGAAGTGAAAATGCCAAACACCGTAGAAGCCAAATGCGCTTCGACATCTCGGCGAAGGCGGCGAAGAACGTCGTGTCGGGAACGCCGCCGGAGTTCATGATTTTCCGCTGGTTCAGATTTCCGAAGAGTGAGCACTCCATTTTCGCGTGGACGAGTTGGAGGTACTTGGAGCGGGTGAATTTAGCGAATGAGGAGTTGGGGTTTTGAGATATGAATATTTTTGGATTTACTGGTTTGAGCTTCTTGAATTTATCGAACATTTGGTGGTTTTGCTGCTCAGCGAGAGGTAGGGAATCGTTTTGGAGTATGAAATTTGTGTCGGTTGTAAAACCTTCGAACATTATTTTGCAGACGAACGATTCGAAAGCGAAGTTTCGATGGGTTGACTCGGGGAATTCGGTGTCCGAACCGACGATGCATTCGATGGCCGCGTTGAGGTCCCAGCTTGCTGATTCCATTTCGCGGATCATCAATTTCACGAAATTTCTGATGGATCTTACGGTATAATGGAGGAATTGGGCAAAGTGAGTCGGATTCAGAATCGGAAATTGAAGATTATCAAACATGGATAAAGAGCCACTTGCATCCAGCTTCTTCTCCAACGACTTGTTGAACGAAAGTAATTCACCAAGTTTTTTCTTCAACGAGACAATGCCGGCATTCTTATGCTCCGATTCAGCCTGCATTTTCTTAATCGTAATTTCGTAGGTTTTCATCAAACTTTGCTGTTCTTGAATCTCCGAGAGCATTAACGTCACCTGGGGTGAGAGATCGAGTTCTTTCTTTAAGAAGCTTCGTTTCAAGTCTGAAATGACCTTTAATTCGTCCACCACCGCTTGGTCTGCAGCTTGAATTGCGTCACTGTTGTAAGGACTCTGTGCCATTTGAAGCTCGGCGTAAGCTGCTTTGATTGAAGTAACGCTTGCAAAAAGCTTCGCAACCAGAGCTTCCATGACTGCCCTGTTTCGAGCTTTGACATCTTCTTCACGTCTCTCGAAGACTTGGGATTTTCCTCCATGAATACTGGAATTTTCTTTGAACTTGTTGTGGGAAACCAGAACGCAGATGCCATTACTGGACGCGATCCTTTTTGCGTTCCTGAGATTGATTACCTTCTGAAATGTCCTGACGAATCTCGTCTTGCTCTTCATACATGATTTGGGTTTGATCGTTTCCATAAGAAAAAAAAGAACACACGCTCACACTCAAAAAGAGAGCATAAGAGGGAGAGAGGTTCCAATGGTGGAAGCTTTGGTGATTGGCAGAGGAAAACAGAGTTAGTAGTAAAAGAGCTAAAGGGCAGAGCCGAATTTTCTTTGCAAAAAGCAAAAGCGAAAACTTTGACCGTGTCTCAGATTAAGGCCGGAAATGGAGGTCCGGCTCTAATAAAGCAAGGATTTAAAGCGCAGGTGGGAGGAAAAGAAAAGGAAAAGGAAGCCATTGCCATTGCCATTGCAGCAGCACTGTCAAGATTGCAACGCAGTTACAGAGGTCAAGTACAGGTACTTAATACTCTGATTTTCCATGAAGCGACTCTGCTTCAATTTGAAGAAAGGCTGCCCCTCAAGCTCAGTTTAATAATATGGTTTCAAGAATATTTACAGCCTCAGCCTCAGCCTCAGCCTCAGCCTGGAGGTGATATTATTACAAATATTTGTGAAGTCTACGCTTGTAAAGTGATCGATGAGCTTCGGCTGTGATCAAATCATGGAACCCAATTTTAGTGATTGGACAATACAAGGCACTGGTTGGAATATGTGCTGTTCCGTTCTTTTAATGGTTAATAGGAGTCTCAACCAGCTTACATAAAAGAAGCTTCCTTCTAGAATGATCACAATAATGAGTGATTTGGGTAGAAAATGAATATGGTTAAGTAAAAAGGCAGTGGAGTGAAGGAGGGGGAATTAATATGCAAAGTGAAAAAATGAGGAGTCTTCATTAAGAGGGTTGTCGATGGCCAACTGGGTCCTCCCTCATGCTCCATATTTCCGACACAAATGAGACAAACTTAGTACACTAAACTCAGCTAACTTCCAATGGCGGACACCACAATGTTTGCTTCTTCTCTTAACTTATCAATCAATCATACATTCTCCCACAATATTCCTTCTAATCTTTGTATAGTTAAATAAGACATCCTTTAATGATTATAATGAAGGCACTAAGCATGCTTCAATCCATCGGTGACATCAATTTACATTCACATGCAGACACAGACAAGCCGAAAGTTTTAATATTGGGTTCTTTTTGGCCTTTCCCTGTTTAGCTTTTCTGGTTTTTCTTCTTTAGTCGAACCCTTTTCTCAATTCCAAACTAATAGTTGTTAAAAAATGACAGAGAAGACAGAAATTTGAAAGTAGTGGAACAGGATTCAAAGCAAGGCAAGGACTGGCCTGGGGTTGAAAACTTGAAAAGGGATTCATACTTACAATCATGAATTGAGAAGAACGGTGAAGCTTTTGGGGATTGGCAACGCACTTTGGTAAGGCCCGTTCCCATCCCAAGTGCGTCTGCTCTTTGCTTTAACCAGTGGGGGTCTTCACAACTTTCACCTCAAAAGACTCGATTCATAGCCTTCACTTCCCATACCACTAACTTGAACTGCAAAAAAGGAAATTCAAATGGAGTAGAATAGCCCTCCTTAGTAGGCATCACCATTAGTTCAGTTCAACAAACCTTCCATTTCACTGTACATCCAACCATTTCAAAATTCAAAGTTGTCTTTTACAGAAACTCTGTTTTCAGAACACAAAATGACTCTGGTTTCGTTTATCTTTAGATGTTCTTCCTCTGATACACCTAAATCAGCCTTATCTTCAGATCAGACATACTGATTCTTCTTTGGCTTTCATAAGCGGTGGCTGCAGTTTAAAGTATGAGAGTTGTCCAATGATACACTGTGAAGCACAACAAAGTTGAAAAAAGAAAATTCAGAAACCATCAGAGACTTCTTGAATAACATTAGTGACGAGCTATTGTACTGCAACTAAAGGGAAAAGGCAAAGTTTCGTAGATAGCTCTGCTATACTGTACAAAACATCGATGTGTTTTACATTGTTTCAGCCAACCCTGATACATTGTACAACACTTCCAAAAAGTTGTCAATAATTAACTTCAAAGTTGTCAACAAACACGAAGATGACGTTTGCCAAATGAGTACTCAGCTTCAAATTTGATCACAACAATGACAATGGAGGAGGATGCTAAAAACTCAAATGTTGAATGTACTACAATTAATCAAAAACAAAAATCAAAACCATATTTCCATTGATATCTATCACTAGTCGTAACAAAAATCAACTTCAAATTTGTTCTCTGTAACAATGGGAAAGTGGTTTCCTTGGCAATGAACTTAGGAACTAGAGAATGGCCTATTGCATCAGCTTATATAATCTTGAAGTTAGGCTTCCCAAGGAAATCCTTACAAGTTAGAAATGAAGAAAAGCAACCTAACCTCAGAAACTATATTACCTATGAACAAGGTTAATCAAAGAGTCCCTATAAAATGTCAGTTTCCGTCAAGAACCCACCTGTGGTACCCTACACGGAAATGAAGGAGTTTGTGATGATTGAAGTTAGGTGTTCCATCCCTACTCCCAGGCCAAGTTTACCTACCATCGTGTAAAAACTTTGCTGGATCTCAAGCTCCATAATATCGTACCCTGAACCCAGATCTAATCAAGCTGGCAACCGAAGCTTCGCATTGTTTCTCCAGCTGCAAAAGGTAGATTAAAAAAAGAAAATTATCGCACGAATTGATACAGCAGTGTATAAGAAAACAAAAACAATACCCTAGGAGTTTGCTTCAATCACCTAATGTAGTAGTAGTAAAAAAAATCAGCATATAAAGCCGCCTGAACCAGGCCAGCGATGAAAGCTACAAGAAACAAAACATCATGTAAGACATCTAATGATAACAACTGAGAGTTTGTGTGACCAAGACCAACCCAAATCTTTACCTATCCACCGATTGAAGTGTGTGTATGTGAAGTATCGGTAGATCCAGTTGAGGATGTAGAGTGCACGATAAGCTCTGCAGAATGATTTTAGTTCCAATCAGAAGAACTGTTTTTGCAAAACAATTACGAGAGGGTACACCAAGAAGAAGCTTGGATCTAAGCTAAAGTAAGAGCTTCTTCCCAAGAAGATCAACAGGAATTGTATCTGTAATATCTATACAAATTTCATCTGCAACCCACTTGCCAAAACCTTCTCCATGATAAAATGGCCGGTAACAATCATAAATTCACGACAAACATGTAAAATTTTCTTGAAGAACATATTGGATGCGTAATGCATGGCTGTTTAGTCCATTGACATCGAACATGAAGGACTTTTCATAAACCAGTCGGAATCAGCATCATAATGCTCATGCATCCAAAAGTTTTTAACACTTTTGTAGGAGACTACTTTAAGGAAATCTATAAATTTTCAGGGCAGCAATTGACCCAAATCCTTGACCTATGTGAATCTAAAAACCCATTTATATATGTCAATTAGAAAATTTATTGATTTGATTGGTCATACCTCTAAGGGATACGACTACATCTAATACGACCAGCAGCAGAAATGGAAAAAGAGTGAGTGGTCATATTCCTTTAAAGATGATGAGGTTATCAAAGCAAGAAAGTAATCCTTCCATAAAGCGCCAACAACCGTAAAGGGAAATATACGAACCCAAGAAAGAAGACATAATGACTGGTTAAATTGTCCACATTCCCACTTCGTTGCAATAAAACTAATTGAGGAAGAATTGCTACGGCCTCCAAGTATATTGAAAACGCCCAAAAGATCTGGAGCAAAAAAAGTTCAACAATATCATTTTCTATTGCATCATATCCTTGCTCATTTAGAGAGTACATGGGATACCCTAAATGGGGATTGGATCAGAGTAACAATGTGGATTATTTATACAGTAATAAAATGACAAAATATAGCATTTCTAACAAGTATCAACAAAAGTGAAATCATCATGTCTATGAAGGTAACATGGCAAACGGGTAATAGGAAATGATAAAACTACATTGCAAAAATTTTAGTTTCGACGCTAATGTTTCTGCAGGACCTCTTCGAATTGTTCGTTAAGGGACGCAAATATTTCGTGAGAATAGTTAAGACCTAATCACACTTGGGTAAGGAATGCACCGCGATAGAAAACTGCTCATGAGTTTTTGACCAGGAGAGTTTCCAGTGATGCTCTAGTGCTTGTGCAGGCTTGCACAAATCCAATATATGAACTTTTGCAGTTAGGGAACAGATCATCATCTTGGTTTTAATTACATATGGAAATTGCCTAATTGGGATGAAATGTGGAAAAAATGAACTGATTAGGCTCATCAATTGTACGAACGGAATCGATAACTATGTATATTGCCAATGCTTCCACACAAACCATCAAACGCAAACTAAAATCATTTATATTAAAAATGTCTCACCTCTTGAAACCCAAACTTCTCGTTCACTAAAAGGGCGAGAATGAAACATGCAGCAACAAGAAAATAATGACGAAAAGTGTCAAGAACTTTATCATATGACCGCCTCACGGTTGGATGCAGCCTCATGCACCAAACAATTGCCAGAGAGCTTGCTATAAAAATCAGCTTCATCACAGTGTTATAGATAGATATGAAATCCGTGAATAGATCCAAATACCGGGCCAGAAAAACAATGGCATACAGCTCCTGAGTCTTGAGAGAAATTCCTTCAAAATAAAAAATTTTAAAATCAGCAAAAGTTCTGATGAAGGGAGTCTCTAATCGGTAAAAATCCATCTTTAACCTAGTTATCTCGAAAACTAAGGGGGGCAAAAAAGCCCTAATGCTCCAATCATCAGCACAAAAAAGTACCAAAACTTCATCAAAAAAGTTAATTAAAATTCAATTGATCAGTTATAACACCATCCGGAAGCTGAACTGACTAAAGCCCTGCTTCAAGAAGTCGATATCAGAATCCCATTTCCATTTATCCACCAATGAGACCCACACTGCTTGTTTCCAAATTCTTCGTACCATTTTCTCTTCCTCAATGCCAGAACCAAATAGAAAAAAAAAAAAATGAAAGCACTGATAATTACCGGAGCAGGATTTAGTAGCGTATATTTTGAGAAGAAGAATTAAAATACTGATCAAGTGTGTCATATCGCCGGCGAACCTGAAAATATTCATGGTTTCCGAGCAAAGAAGACGATAGGTAGGTTAGATTATGGAAAACAAGAGAGAACGGGGAAAAGAGGCGGAGGGAATTGGGAAAGGGCAATGACTGGAAACAGACGTGGCAACTGGAAACGCCCTCTCCCTCCACGATGGTCTGCGCATTCGCCGCCAACAAAACTGACACAGCGCCAAACAGATCATCAATTTGACCATAAAAATCATAACAGTCCACATAATTCTTTTTCTTATTATTAATCAGTAGGCTAGCGAGAAGGGCCGGTTTGGGTTTTGGTGTCGATCAGCCCATATGATAATGGGTTAGGCTTGGCCCAGCCAACAAGGTCCACGATCCATTCCATCCATTTGAAAAGGCGAGGGGACAGAAAAGTGATTGAGTTTGACAAAATTGTTAGATTGTGAATGTTTTTCAAAGTTGGGAAAACAAGAACATGATTCCCTAGATTCGCCAAGCTCCCGCCCTAGCCGCCTCGCCTCGCCTCGCCTCGCCTCAGTGGCCGCAATGAATTGAACCCACCGCCTAAAAAGTAAGAATAAAGTTTGAAATAGCCGCAAAGGTCGCCATTGGCACGTGAAAACCCTTCAACTCCATTAGTTTAATCGCACAACACATTACAATGCAAATCGAGTTTGGATGGCCCCTCCCCCCTGTCTCTTGGGAACTAGACACCTTTCAGCTTTCCCAATCCTCTTAAATCATACCCTCCACTCCTCTTAACCCCTGACACTTTTGCACTTCTTGCTTCCCTTTTCATGCTAATCAAGTTGATTTCAGAGCTCAAACTCGAACTGGGGTGCTGTTCTAATCATTTGCATCATGAGCCACTTCAACAACTGGGTCAATTGAGACCAAACCCAGATGGGTCAAGTTCTGGGCATTGAGATTCTGGGTTTGGGTTGTAGAGAAGAAGTGGGGGTTTCAGAAATCCAGGCGAGGTGCATGCAAATGCATAGTGTGCTCCAAGAAAATAAAGGAAAGCCCCCACAAACCGAAAACAATAACGTCTATGTCTGTGTAGGAAGGCATAAGACAAGAGACATGTGATGGGTCTGAGATGAGATTTTGATGGGATACAGAGAATCCAAGAAGCCACACATCAACAAAAATGTACTATATTCTAAACAAATATATGGGCCATGTGGAGGACGCATTCCCAAACTATCCTTTTCCATTCTCATCCTAACCCTCCACCTTTGCAACGTCATTTGAAATTGTCCAAATATACATGGTCTCCGTCTCTAAGCAAGCAAGAGGTTTCTAAAAAATACTCTGTTTCTCTCTTTAATTCATGCCACATCTCATACTTTTCTATCTTTATCTTCCGTTCATCAATGCATTTAACCTATAAAATCTTCTCTTTTTTATTTTTTATTTTTTATTTTTTATTTTTTATTTTTTATGGTGGGTTTAGGTCAGTAAAAAGGAAAGTAAAGATGAGTGGTTTTTAAGTAGGTAAAATAAAATTTACATTTGTGTTGGTTGGTTTCTTAAGGATGCTTTGTTTAATTTGGAAAGTAATTAAACACACCTTTGTAATTGACTAAACAAAGGCATACTTTAAACGTTGATAAACCAAATTTTATTTGTAGTTTAGCTAAAAAAAACCAATTTAATTTGTAGTTTAGCTAAAAAAGCTAAGTATGTATGATAGAAATTAAAAGGCATTGAATTCCAAGACGAGAGACATTAATACGAGGTAGTGAAAAAAAAATATGGGAAACTGTGCACGACATGGAAATTGCAAAGAATGGGCTAAATTGCAAAATAGTCCTTTCTTCAAACTGTGCACGAGAGACAACTGATGTTTGATCTTACAATCCACTTTTCTTGAAGCCCTATCGTTCTCGTTAGTACTTCTGATACCATTTGCAACACTTTAAGCCCACCACAAATAAATATTGTTCGTTGTGACCAGTTACATATCTTCGTCAGCTTCAAAATTTTTAAAACGCATGTATTAAGTAGAGGTTTCCACGTACTTATAAGAGATATTTTATTTCTCTCTACGACCGATCGTGAGATCTTAAAAAAAAAATATAATAAATAAATGGGTGTGGACAGGGTTTGTTTCATGTGTTTGGCTTTGGGTATTCTGAGACATGCTCCTTGTGCATGGGCCACCCTTCCCCTTTTGTCCACTGTTACCCCACACCACCACGCACCCTTCTACCCCTTTTGTCCACTGTTACCCCACACCACCACGCACCCTTCTACCCATTAACTCACCATACTCTTATGTAACTCGTAGCTTCTACTACAAAACACATTTAATTTAAACTTGCTTCAAACACACATTCAACGTCACTGGTAATTAAATTTTCAGAATAAGTGAGGTGTTATGTGTTAGGAGCAAGAAAAGTGGCGAAGCGCCCAAAAATTTAAAATATGGACCAACGGTATAAAATCTTGGGTCAGCGTGCGTAAATAAGGTAAACGTTGGGGACAATAATTTACTGAAATTCAAGCATATAATTTATTCAAATCAGCGGTGGGTTTTGGATATTTAGCCTCTCACTTTCCCGTAGTTGGTACGAAAGCGACGGCGGTGGCGGAAGAAAGGGGGCTAATTTTCCAAATTAAAATTAACATTTTTTTTATTTTTTTATGTAAAGGGCTATTTTGGGGTCTGGAACGGACACATGGATTCGTTGCTGACGTGTCAACGGGTGCGAGAGGTGACCTGGGAATCTGCCTTTTAACAGATCTCACCCCATACTTCAACCAACCCCCTCTTCTTCTTCACTTCCCACTCTTACACTCTTTTGCTCTTACTCGCCTCTTCTTCTCAATCTTGTTTCTCTCTCTACCGGAGTTTCCTGTGTTTGCGACTGGGATTATCGCTTTTGGGTGGAAGGGGACCTCGTGAGCTTCATGGGAAGCTTGCTGAGAGATCTGGGCTTTTAATTTTTCAAGTGGCAGACGGGATTCTGCTTTTCCTCTCTTCTGATTCAGGTGATTCCTCTTCTCTTTCCTTTTGCTTTTTTCCGTCTTCCCCAACAGTTTGCCTTTAACCTACTCTTTGTGTTTTCCTTTTCAATATCCTCTCTATCTTCTTTCGCTTTCCTCCTCATTTTGTCTCTTCCGTTTTGACAGAGACCGACCGCGATTTCTTCTTAGGGATTCCAGGGGGACTGCGAGTCAGGTTTTGATTCTCGCAGTTTTTCGAAAGATGGGTTCCTTTTTCTCTTCCCCTGTTCCGGGATTTGCTTGCTGAAGCTGGATTGAGCTTGTCGCAGTATGCATTGAAGTTTGCTCGTTGCTGCTAATTGAGATGCGGTTTCAGTAGCATTTGGTATTGCTGCTAATTCAGCTTGAATCTTTAGTTATAAGCTTCATGGTTTGCTCGACCCTGGTTTCTGGTTCTTCGGCGATGGATTTTCTTTTTGTCTCATTTTATACTTGGCGGAAAGTTGAGGAGGTGAGGATATAATTGTTTCAAATGGGTTCTCGTTAAATAGAGTCAGGATATAACTTTCCTTCTTTAGATAGAAGGACATTTTTTTGCCTAAATTGCGGGATATTTGGAATTCATTCGTCATAATTGCGGAGATTTGACCTCGCGTTGCCTGATTGATAATGCGATATATTTCGATTCGTTTCCTTAATTGTCAAGAAATTTCCCGACCAAATGCATTTATGTTCTCATCATGACTAGAGCTGTGCGCGATAGGATTCTCAAGGAGGCAAATGGTGACATTAGCGATCATCTACGTAACCACATTCACTTGACAAACTGCATTCACTTGAAGAATCATATGCACAAGCACAGTCCTATCTTGGCTGACAGGTCCCTTATGAGGGATCTCATTGTCCTTCAGAGGTCGCGATCTCTCAGGGACCCTTCTGCAAGTCCTCCCTCATGGCAGTCTCCCTCCATTACTGACCTTCCATCAAGGATGGGCGAAAATAATGCTGTGATTCGTGAAGGAAGAAGGTCGGTAGGAACTGAGAGTCGAAGGGTAGGTAGGACAATTTCCGGAAGTTCTCCACCCTTGGGAAGTTTTGCAACATCAAAAGTTGCTCCAGCTGAGGTGAATGTGGGCACGGATGGGGTGAGAGCTGTTAGTGAGCACAGTGTTAAGAGTGAAATCCGAGATGGTAGAAGAATTCGGAGAGAAGAGTCAAGTAGGAGGAGTGATAGAAACAGTGTTTTGGATGGCAATGAAGAATCTTTACCTGTTCATGATGGGCATCTTCTGCATGAGGCTATTTCGAGGAAATCAGAATCTAAAGATAGAAAGAGTGAACAGAAGGATAAGCAGGTCAGGGGCATTCCATTTAAGACACTATCGGAGCAACTGAATTCTGCTCCAATCGATAGTGATGATATTGCATCTTCAAGTGCTAATGTATATGGGAGACAATCTCAGCAGGATAAAATCATCGACGAACCTGAACCCAGCTTTCGTGGAAACTGCAGTGGATTGAATAGGGTTAAAAGGCGAAAATTTCGAGGTACAAGGAGAAGTCGTATGAATTTAACTTCCAGGGACACGGGGGTTCAAAATGAATTGTCTGTAGCTTCTAATACATTAGCTCATGGTTCCGCTCATTCAAAGCATAGAATGGAAGAGGAAAATGAAAATTATGCCAACAAAAATGTCATTGGTGGACCTAGAAATGGGTGTGGTATGCCTTGGAATTGGTCAAGAATTCATCATAGGGGCAAAACGTTTTTAGACATGGCTGGAAGGAGTTTTTCTTGTGGCATTTCAGACTCGATGTTAAGAAAGTGCAGTCCAACTGCACGTGGGAGAGGTATTTCTGGCACACCCATAGCATCTGATCACTCAAGCTCATCTGCAAAATTTGATGCCGAAGCACTACCTTTACTGGTTGAGGCATCCGGGTCCCACGAAAGCATTGAAAATGCAGGCTGGCAACGAGATTACTCTGGGGAATTGGGAATATTTGCTGATAATTATATTAAACATGAAGTTGATTCTGACCTTGCTTCAGAAGCAAGATGCAGTAACCGAAGAAGAACAAGAGGCCATCATCGTTCTAGACATCAGAGTCTGACACAAAAATACATGCCACGAACATTTAAAGATTTGGTGGGACAAAATTTAGTAGCCCAAGCTCTTTCAAATGCTGTCTCGAGGAAGAAGGTTGGGTTACTATATGTGTTTTATGGTCCTCACGGTACAGGAAAAACATCCTGTGCTCGCATATTTGCAAGAGCACTGAACTGCCAGTCTTTGGAACATTCCAAACCGTGTGGATTATGCAATTCTTGCGTTGGATATGACATGGGAAAGAGCAGGAATATAAGGGAAGTTGTTCCTGTGAGTAATCTCGACTTTGAGAGTATTACAGAACTACTTGACCATATGATAGCTTCTCAGCTCCCATCACAGTATACAGTGTTCATCTTTGAGGATTGTGACAGCTTTTCCTCTAATTGCTGGAGTGCCATTACAAAGGTCATTGACCGAGCTCCCAGACGTCTAGTTTTTGTCCTTGTCTGTTCAAGTCTAGATGTTTTACCTCATATAATTATATCCAGGTGCCAGAAATTCTTTTTTCCAAAGCTGAAGGATGCCGATATAATCCATACTTTGCAGTGGATTACAACCCAAGAAAATTTAGAAATTGATGAAGATGCACTGAAACTTATCACATCAAGATCCGATGGATCATTGAGGGATGCTGAAATGACTCTTGAGCAGCTCAGTTTACTTGGCCAGAGAATTTCTGTTCCTCTAATCCAGGAACTGGTAAGTTATATATTTTAATTACAAAGAGTGCAAGAGTTGGAGGTTAAAGTTTCTATCCACTCTTTTCAGAGGCTACTACTTCATGTCTTGACACTAGTGGTTGAAATATTTTCTGCCCACTTACAAGTTTGACGTGAAATTGTTTTCAAGAGCAAAATTGATCTGGGGCTGCAACTCAATAGGTGTATTATGTTGCATTTCTTGCCTCGTGTGTTGTTGTGGAAGAGTGAAAAACTAAATGTGTTCTTTCATTTACAAATTTACTTTTATGAAGCTTATTTAAAATGGTTTTCTCAACCGGTGAAGCATGAACATGCTTGAAATAAATCTAGCTACATTTTATTCTGAAATATTTACGTGTGGAAGGCTTCTCATGTTGACAAGCTATCATAACTGATGGTCTGTTCTTTTCTCTGTATTTTGAAGCCTTCCAGCATAATATAAATAGACTAGTTTCTGGTGATGAGAATTGTAGCTTTGGTTTCAATAATATAAATTATAAAAAATATAAGAATAACAGTTTCCCCTTGCAGTGCAGTTTGATTCGTATAATTTTTACTGCATATGATGTTCTTATTGTTTCAATTCTCATAATTTCTATGTACCCAATTGGCTTCCAGGTTGGACTTATCTCTGATGAAAAATTGGTTGATCTTCTTGATCTAGCTCTATCTGCAGACACAGTAAATACCGTAAAAAACTTGAGGTTGATAATTGAAAGTGGTGTGGAGCCAATGGCCTTGATGTCACAAATCGCAACTGTAATTACAGATATTCTTGCTGGTAGTTATGATTTCCGAAAAGAAAGACCTCGGAGGAAGTTTTTCCGACGTCAGCCATGTAAGTCAAAGAACAGGTTATATATATATGGTGGACCTTAATTGATTCTAGTTCATTTTAGATTTTTGCTAAAATGTTGCCTATGTTAAGCTTTATCTGGAACTTCGCATCATCTCTTGTTGTCTTCCATTAGTTTTAATTGATTAATTAACTAATTTTAAGTCTTAATCATGTATAAAACTGATGATGCATTTTCTTTTTTGGCATTCTAGTATCCAAAGAAGATATGGAAAAGCTACGTCAAGCTCTGAAAACATTGTCTGAAGCTGAGAAGCAATTAAGAATGTCTAATGATAAATTAACCTGGCTTACGGCTGCACTACTTCAACTTGCACCAGATCAGCAGTATATGTTGTCCAGCTCTGCTGAGACAAGCTTTAATCACAGTCCCTTGGCCCTGAATAATGTGAATGGTAGGGGTGTGTTAAGGAGCACTGTTCAGCATGCTGAAATACCTGGTGGTGAGAAAAGATTGTCAACAGATGTTAACTTTGCTGGCCATTCTGATTCATATGATAATAGAATTGCCAAAGGCATTGGTTTAGACAGAAAAAGACACTCTGGGGTTGGTGTGGCTTCTCAGCAGACTAATGCTACACCTGCCGATTTAATGAAGTCTAATGGAAAGCAGGTTTCTGGTAGAACTCGGAAAGACATCGAAGAAGTTTGGTTGGAGGTGCTAGGAAAAATTCGGATAAATAGCATTAAAGAGTTTTTGCTACAAGAAGGGAAGCTTGCATCAGTGAGTTTTGGTGCAGGTACATTTTGTTGTTACATCGTGTTTGCATAGTTTCATGCCTCTTAATTCACTTCACTTATTTATTTATTTATTTTTTAAATCATTTTTTACAAAACTTGATTTGACCGTCAATATTTAGAAGCACGTTAAAATTATATATGTTAATCTAACATCTGAAGCAAAGAGTTTTAACTTTTGATAATATACAATATCTATTTGGCAGCACCAACTGTGCGCTTGATATTCAATTCACATCATGCAAAATCAAAAGCAGAGAAGTTGAGAGAGCAGATCTTACAAGCATTTGAGTCTGCTCTTGGGTCCTCGGTGATAATTGAAATTAGATGTGAATCAAAAAGGGATACCACAGTGGGGAACCATTCATCCGTTACTTTACCTGCCTCCAAGAATGGTCCATTGCAGATTAGGGATATAAGTGGTTATAAGCCTGAAGCTCAGCTACCGCATTACAGATCCAGTGAAGTTGGAAGAGGCGAAATTGTTGAAATAGATGCTTCACCAAGGGATGCCCATAATCAACGAGAATCTAATCAAAGGAATGTAGAAGGTTCACAGGGAGAAGTATCAGTCTCACGTAAGAACTCGACTATGTCATCAATTTCAGAAAGAAGAGAAGGTGGAGCTCAAAGTCGGAGTCAAAGTATTGTGAGAAGCAAAGTATCTCTGGCACATGTTATTCAGCAGGCAGAAGGATGTTCACAGCGAAGTAGATGGTCCAGTCGCAAGGCTGTGTCTATAGCTGAAAAACTTGAGCAGGAAAACTTGTACGTATTGCTATATCAAATTTTCAAATTTTCAAATTTTCTTGTAGTGTGATATTAGGTTTCTGGCATTTAAATTTAGTTAAAAGAATGTGCATTTGAAGCAGTACGCTTAGCAACATGAGGTAGATTATAGGCTGTTAGGGTAAAAACTCTCACGTCAGGAAAAATATGAAAGGTTGCCAAAGTTTAGTTAGATTTAAGAATATAATTGATTGAAGGTAGAAAAAGAAATCACACGAAACCTAGCAAATAAGCAACTCAGAAATAATGAAGTTCTGAAATATATACACAAGGCACTTTTAAATAAATTTCTACGTGTAATGTTTGTTTTTCTACATTTTGTGTAGGAGACTTGAACCTCAATCAAGAAGCTTGTTATGCTGGAAAACATCTAGAGTAACTCGACGGAAGGTAGAGCAAGAAAGAGATTTAAAATAACTCTTATAATTTGATTGTTTCAGTTTTGATATCACATTCTCTTTCAGCTAAAAATGACTTATTGATGAATTTGTGCAGCTATCACGGTTGAAAGTTAGAACACGAAGGCCGCAGTCACTGCTGAAACTTGTCTCCTGTGGTAAATGTCTCCCTGCGTAGTTAGCAAGGTAATAATTCCAGCCGGAAAGGAAGAAGAGGAAGAATGGTCTAGGAGATTGATTAACTTGGTTTTCTCTTTTAGTTGTATTTAGTTTTTCTCATCTCTTTTGCTCCATGTTGATTACTAGGCAGGCTCATTTTTATCTGTGAATTCAATTTTTATGAAATCAATTAATTTTTCATGGTAAAAATAGGAGAGGATTATAGAATGCAGGCCTCATGTGCTAAACCTTTGCCCACTCAAATTCAATTTCCGCCTTGTTAGATCAGTTCTTTTGGGATTTTACAATATACTTCTAACTTCACTTTCATTTTGGCCTTGAATGACACCACAATGCATTGGAATTGTATCTGGTATCTGTATTCAAATGTTTAAGGAGTTCCATTCTAAAATCCTCATTCATTTGAATGATTATTAGGGAGTGCATGCATTTTCACTTCAAACCCAGAAACTTCTGCATTTAGTATGCGTTCGGGAGGATTGATAGGTTCCGAACTAACCACAATACTTTTCGACTTTGTCCAGAATTCTTTCTTTATACATCTTGATGTTGTAAAACAATGAGTCAGAGATCTAGTTGTTGATGTCAATGTCATATTTTTCTTTCTTAATCTGGGTCTTGCTGCACTATCCAGGTTCGAAAGCCAATTATTGACGTAGATTTCATATTCTCAGCTAGCTTTTCTTCCCCTTGTGCTCTTCTCCTATCGATGTAGTGCAGTCTTCATTTTCGTTTCATCGCCCTCTGGATGAGCGGCAGCTTTCCTCGTCATGTCAGTCTGAGGAACTGAAAAGGTGCCCCAGTTTACCTTTGAACATAATGAGCGCTAAACCCCCTCCAGGAATCCATGAATATATGGTGATGCAGAAGAACGTGGGGAAATTAGTTTCTCTTCTTCCGGAGCATTTTCACAGAACCTCTACAGAAAGATTCCGTAAGAAAATTAGAATCAAATGAAATACAAACAACCACGTAACGAGGATTGACGACTCCTTTTCCTCGTCCCTCTCGGTCTCATTGCTTATCTCCTTTGCCTATTCATTGCCTCGGTCTCTCAATTCCAGTGCCTCTTCTCGTACTAACCTTCACCAACTACTCATAAAAGCTATGTTACTACTCATAAAAGCTCTGTATAACATTCTCTGCTGTACATCAGAAATAAATCATCAACTTTAATGTTTGATGAGAGAAACCTCATAGTCCAATGGATCAATCTACTCTGCCAAAACCACTCTTCATTTTAGGCCCTAAAAAGGGTTCGTAATCTCCATGGGAAAAATGTACAGCTCTTCGGCTCAGCCCAGTCAGCTTGGTGGACCACTTGAATTCGGCTTTTGACTAAAGGCAAAAGTCGGAAAAAATCTAGAAGTGAAGGAAAAAGAAAAGCAATAAAGCAGAAAGACAGGAAACCCAATAAAATTCCATCACTAAAGCTTGACAGGGAATTCTCAAAAACAGTTCAATCCAAAACTAGAACTAAGGGCCTCGACATGTTCGTATATGACGTTAAGTATAGAAAAGAAAACCCATTTCTTCCCATCTCTGTCTGCCCAACAGGTGTTTGTGATAATGACACACAGCCCACAGCCAACTCCCAACTCCCAATTCTTTGTGAATTAGAGCCTATATGCTCTAAGCGAGATGAAAATCAAAGAAATGGGCTTCTTTTCTTTTTCTTTTTCTTTTTCTTTTGGTTTTTTTAGCGTCATGTTTGTTCTTTTGCTTCCATTTTCCTTTTAGTTCCTTATTAGAGATTTAGAACCATCCACAAAGTGATAAAAAGTGGGCAAGTGGTCACAGGATTAATGGCGGGTGTTTCTTTTGAAAAAAAGAACAGCAAAAAGACCAATATGAAACCCACGTTCCTACTTAGCAGCTTAACTGTCTCAATAACTGCTACTGCTATACCATCTTCTCTGAATCACTTTCTTCTTTGATGTTCCATACCCCAAAAACTTTCTAACGTTACAAATTTTTCTTTTTGTTTCAATTCAAGTGAAACCCATCTTCCTTTGCTGAAATTATGAAATGGGGTATGAGAAAACCGCAAAATCCTTCTTCTTCTTCTTCGACTTCTTCTTCTTCTTCTTCCTCTAGGCCTTCTTTCATGTCTAATATCTTTCCTGCTTCTTGGCTCTCAAAGCTCAAGCAAAAGAAAAGCAACCGAGAAGCCACACCCAGAAAAGTAAAGGGAACAGAGAAGGGGAATTCTCCTTGCATTCATTCACCTGGTTATGGAAATGGGACTTCCTCCCCTGGTCAAGCAAATGGGAATCCCAATCGATTATGTAGCGGATATAATGGTGAATTTTGGAAGCTATCCTTTGGAGAAGATGATACTGATGTCAAGAGTGGTGGGATTTTGAGGTCGGTTTGGTACAAATCGGAGGATGAGCATGAGCTTCCACGTACAAGTCATAGAAGCTGCAGATCAAAATGTACAGAATTTGAGGTGAAGGAAGAGATTCAGAATTTGGAGGACATGGTTTCAAGGATGACGAGGAGAAGGAGGAGGAGGAAAGAAGCTCCAACCCAAGTGAATATTTTGAGAACAGAAAGTGATATTGAATCAAGAACTCCAAGGATCAAATACAGAGAAAATGGGAACTTCAAGAGTATGGGTCAAAGGGTGATGGAGAAGAAGGGATTTAAACGAGGAAGGGAGATAGATAAAGCAAGGGAGAGAACAAGAAGATCAGTAGGAAACAAAATGTTGGTACAGGAAGAAGAGTCTGGAGTTAGGAAGAACAGGAGAGATAAAACCAAATTGAGAAGTTCAAGGAAGCATAGGTATGTCCCTTCCACCATGTCAAAAAGCTCGAATTTAGGAACTATAGAAGAAAACTGTGTATTTTCTTCTATGAAAGCAGAGGAAAGTGATGAACATGACATTGTGGGCACTGAAATTGATTCAGATTGGGAAAGGATGAGAGAGTTGAAGATGGAGGAATTGAAGTTGAGATATGAAAGACAAAGGCAACCACTCTACATAAGGAAGGACTCCAATGAGAAGAATTCAAAAGGCAGAAGAAAACTCAGAGTTTACTCTCCTAGAACAGCCACTAAACTTGAGATCTGCAAGATCAAAGCATTGGAGGATATGAAGAAAGCGAAGTTAAAGATGAAGAAGAAGGTAAGAGAGAGCATAGTAGAGGAAGAGACGGAGTTGGAGAGCTTTGCGGTCGTGAAATCTTCGTTCGATCCACAGCAAGACTTCAGAGACTCCATGGTTGAAATGATCATGGAGAGAAGGATCAGTAAAGCAGAAGAACTTGAAGAACTGTTGGCTTGTTATCTCACATTGAATTCCGATCAATACCATAATCTCATCATCAAGGTGTTTAGGCAAGTGTGGTTCGATCTGAATCAGGCTGCGTTCGAATCTGAATTACGTAAGCAATTCCCTTGTAATGAACAACTTGTTTAGCTAATAATTACAGACAAAGTGTAGTAATCTTATCTGTTGAAAACATCTCAGTTCATAAACATTGCAAGCCTTGTTAATGTAACGTTGAATTACTGTTTTTCCGTTTACGACTCTCAATACTCATTCTCTTCATTTCCTGCTTGATTTCTCACTTTGCCTGTTAATTTAAACTGTGCCTGTTGATATGAAGAGTGAGTGAGCTGCAGGTGCAGCACACGAGAGCAGTCATACTCTGTTAATGCTCCTACAGAATGTGAACCGTCCAATGGATTGTGAGATCCCACGTTGGTTGGAGAGGAGAACGAAGCATTGCTTATAAGGTTATGGAAACCTCTCCTTAGTAGATGCGTTTTATAACTGTGAAGTTGACGGCAATGCAAAACAGGCCGAAGCGGGCTATGTATTAGTAGTGGACTTGGACAGTTACAAAGAAACGGGAGACCAACTTGAGGATTTGGGTGGCTGAGTTGCCAAAACGTTAAAAGATTACTGCTACAGACAGCAGAGGACAATAAATTGAAGCAAATGGAGGCCTGGTACAAATAATGACCATCAAAGTTGAGTAAAACTTGAACAATGCTCCAATAATTGTTATGAATAAACAACATTGTTGGGAGAATAAACTCAATAATTAATGCATTGCTGCGGGGGATATGGGTGTTGAGTTGCTTACCGCCTCAGCCTCTTCGGGCAATTGAAACAAAAAAGGGGGGACATATTGCGGACAAACTTATACGTAATTACAAGAAGCTGATTAGATGGATTGGATTGGACCCATATTCATTTTATCATCAGTACAATAATTTTTTATTTTGAAAAGACACTAGTTTATGATCCGGGTACTCATCACTAGTTTATGATCCGGGTACTCATCACTAGTTTATGATCCGGGTACTCATCCGTTTTTGGTTGTATTAATTATATAATCAATTCAAAACATCAAGGTTTGGTCACTGCAGAATTCATATGGTTTTCTGATCTTGGTTTCTGTTGTGTTTCGAAAATAATTCAGAAGCTATGCTAATTGCAGGTGGAAATGGAATTTTACGTTACCCAAGTTTGAATTTGAGCCAAAATTGTGTATGAATCTTTAGCAATATTCGATTTAATGCGTGCTTTCAAATGCTTTATACACGTGAAAGAAAATAAGGGAAAAGAACTTTATATTTTATTTGTAACAGCTCAAGCCCACTGCTAGTAAGCATTGTCTGTTTTGGCTCGTTATAAATGGTATTAAAGCTAGACCACCGGACAGTGTGCCAGCGAGGATGTTGGGTCTCTAAGAGTGGCTGGGCCGTTACAAATGGTATCAGAGCTAGACATTGAATGGTGCACCAACAAGAACACCGGATCTCCAAGAGTGGGTGGTGGATTGTGAGATCCTACATCAGTTGGAGAGAGGAACGTAACATTTCGTATAAGGGTGACAATGATACATAACAGATTGAAGTATTGAAGTAGACAACAACATTGAAATAATTCCAAATTTCAAAGAAAAGGGGTTAAAGTTTGAACATGAGAGCAAAAATAATCCCAAATTTAAACAAAAAAAAAAGAGATTAGATTTAAAGTTTTATTGTCATGGGTGGATTGGATAGATATGATGGTTAATATTCATAATGATCAACAGAGGCAGAACAGCATCATCTTCAAATCTTGGATCTGTATGGATTGAATTTGAGTTTAATTTGGAGTTGAACAGTGGTTGTTCAACTACATTTATATAATCAAATCGACAAACAATCTTCGTTCAAATTTGTTCTCTACCCAGATAGATACTGCTTCACAGCATCCCTCATGTCATCATAACACTCGCACATCTCAAAAAAGTTTACCAATTTTCGAAGCTCCATGTCCGCCGGATCGTCTATGAACGACGGAATCGGAATCGCATTTTCCGGCTGAAAAACGTAAGCGTTAGGATTGTCATCCACAATCACTACTCTTCTCAAATCCCGCCCAATTTCAGACAAATCCTTCACAAATTTCCCATCCACCTCCTTGCAAGAGTCGCGATACAATCTGTGCGAAATCACCGATTTCTTGTCCAAATTGTTCAGCACAAGCGAGGCGTATTCCCTCATTCCCGCCGTGAACACCACGATTTCGAATCTATCCGCTAAGGCTTCCAGAAATTGGTCCACGCCTGGGCGTTTGAGCACATAGAACTTGAGTATTTCGCCGTCGACCCTTGGCCTGACTACGAAATCGAATCTCGCTGGCGGCGGGTCCAGCTTGGAGTGGATCAGAGTCTCGTCAAGGTCGAGGAGAACGGTCCGCTTGGCCGGCGAAAAGAGTGGAGGGAGGAGGCGGTTGTCGAAGACTAAGGTTCGGACAATGTCGGGTTCAGGGGAGGCTGTTGCAGATGTGGATGTGGATGTGGATGTGGGTGCGGTTGTCCTCAAGGCCTTATAGCCTTTGTAGCGGTTGGGGGTGCTGATACAGGTCAACTTGGAGAAGATTTTGAGAAGACGGCGGTGGCAGGTAGAGAGAGAGCGGCGGATGGTGGCGGCGACAGTGGAGGAGGCGGCATTCTTTACGGGGGACTTGCGGCGTTGACGGCGGAAGGGCTTGGTGAGGGATGTTTTGATGATCTTGGATACCATTGCTGAATGTTGGAAGCTGTGATGAGAGTTGGAGGAAGAGGGAGGAGAATTTGAAGAGTTCGCATTAGGTTCGGTGTAACGGTCAAGTGGTTAGGTTCGGAACCGTAGCAAGAATTCAACTGAATAAACAAAAGCAACAAAAACCGTTGCTGCCTCATTGCAACTTCTTTTTCACTTCCTTTTGTTTTTTGTTTTTTGTTTCTTTTTTCCCTTACAAAATTCAATTTAATGTTTAGAAACCAAATTTAGTTTAAACTTAAAAGTATGCCTATAAAAAAAAATGTTTAAATACAAAAATGAAAATTAACAAATTTATTATACATAAAATTGAATGAAATATAGATTTTTTTTTTTTTTTTTTTTTGTCTAATAGGTAACTAAATCTAAAAATTGTGGAATAAGCCAACATATCGAACACAGTACAGAACGAAAAACTTAAGAACCTATTAAATATTTTTTAAAAAATTAAAAAAATCCATTGAATAAAAGTTTCCTCAAGACATTTTAAAATCTGAAAACGAGCTATTAGCTTGTTACAGAGAATAGAAAGTACTAAAGCCAAATAGGATAAAGTTGGCAAGAAAAGGAGAGCACTAACGCCGTTAACGTCTTTACCTGAAATTTAGAAATTCAAATGAAAGAGAAAATAGAAAAAGAAGCAAATTCTTTTCGAGTTTAGCCTTCGGTGTCTAGACACATTTTAAAATCTAGAAGTCTATTAGAAGATAGATACAGAAAATTTCAATATCCAAGAAAATCTTAACATCTTTGGTTCATAAACAAGAAATTCATCAACCCAACAATGACTTACGGTTACTGCAATCTTAACAACAACTTCAATTACTTAATAATAGCAATCTCAATCATCTTCTCTTTCTGGAGGAAGGCCGCAGGGTAATAGCATTTTCTACAAAAAAAAAGGAAAAGAAAAAAGAAGAAGAACAACCCCTTAAGTATCTAACTATGCCCGAAATGATATCCAGGAGGATATATGATGAAGTTTTGCTATCCCTCGTTAAGAATGGAATGAATGCTAGTTACAAACATGATGGGTTTAACCCCACAATTCGAAACACAGAAGCAGCACAAACCCAGTTTAGATTACAGCACGCAGAGTGGATCAAGTGAAGATAACAAACAATTCATATACATGGATGGAGCAATTACTCGAAAATCATATAATAGGACTTGAAACTCTCATGTTCATGGGAAGACGGCAAGTTAAAGGGGTAATAATCATAAAGAAAGAAGAAGTTATTAACCTGCATGAAGTTGTAGCGTTCCCTCCCAATAGATTCATTTTCTGCTATAGCGAAGTATGCTAGAATGGGGTAATGTCCAACATAAGATGCATAGCTATCTCGCTGAATGTTTACTGCCCACTCACTGTACACACCAACATCTGAATTTAGACATCAAAACTAATATGCAAAGCAATATAATAAGATCAACACTCAAGAAGGAATACAAAACTAACAATCTATTTAAGTCCGCATGCCCAGTTCCCACATATTTCGCCTGAAGGTGCTCAAGCTGGGAATTTATGTTAAATCTATCACTGGCCTGCATCCAAATCAAAAACCAACATTAGCGCCTCGTGTCCATCTAAACCAACCTCCAGCGAGCAGTGACAGGAATCCACAATCAATCTCAAATTTCAAAGATGGATTACCGATTAAAAGGTCTGACATCCACTTATTACACTAACCAACTCAATAGTAATTCAAGACTCAACATAATATCGTTACTAGAAACAAACAAACCCCAAATAAAAAAGTAGATCTTTTTTCCTTCGTGAGAGTGATTCCCAGTGAGAAAGTAGTAGAAAATTCCTTATCTCCCATAAATTAAGGATTCAGGAATATCGCAACAGAGAAGGCCTCCGATGAACAAAACGAAAAGGTTGAGTAATACGAACAGGATCAGGAAGTGAATTTAGAAAATCATCTCCTAAGGCTTGAATCAGCGGAAATAGAAACGAAAGAAACAAATTGGACTCAGTCGCCGGGCTGTCTAATTACTGCCCAACTAAATCGAAACACAACCTAAAATTCGGAATAAAGAAGTATGATAGACAATAAATACGATGTTCCAAGTGTAGTCAGTACCTGCATGTTCGCTCGCGAATTGCAATAGAAGCAACGAGGCAGAGAATATGAATTTCCCTCTCGAACGGCTGCAGCAATTTAGGTCTTTATAAACCATCGAAGGCCAAAAGAACGCCCACTTCACTTTCTAAAATATATTATATTTTTTTTTAATATATCTCTATTTTGAAAATATATATTATAATAAAAATTATTATTATTTTCCAAGTAAAATAAAAATTTGAAACTTGTTTTTGCATTAATCTAGAACTAAATATATCAATGAAATCTCCCACCTCTGTTACCAGTAATCTCCACAGGAACACATTCCGTTCTTGAAATGGTGAAATCGACTGTTATCCCTCACAACAATCTCCCTCCCAACTATCTTGGATATGAACTTGGTTGCTGTGTGACAGTCGGTACACACGCGGAGGTTCTTTGTGACACGAATTGTCGTCCCGGCGGGCGTGTTGATGATACCGAACACAATGGCAAGCCTCTCACTATGGCGGCAAAGCAAGTATTTCTTTTGCTCCTCTTCCACATCATGATGAACCTCGCTTGTATCTGCCTCATAACCCTCCTTTTTCATCAGCTCCATTAGGACTTCCATGGCTTCTCTTACTTCCTCATAACATGGATGGGATTCATCTCCAGCCATGAAAGCATGTACTTTGTTTTTAACTTCAATCCAGCTGCAGGCTGGTGTCTTTCTAATGCCTGTGCGCCTCAATGAGGCTCTCCATTTTGCGGCCTCTTTCCATCTCCTTGCACCAGAATATATGTTTGCTAGTAATACATAAGCTCCCGTGTTCTCTGGATCGACTTCGAAAATTCTATTAGCAACCTTTTCGGCCATGTCGACGTTTTTGTGGACTCGACAAGCAGACAACAATGTCGACCATATACTCCCAGTTGGTCCCATATGCATCCCACAGATAAAGTCATAAGCTTCCTCCAGCCTTCCAGCTCGTCCAAGAAGGTCTGAAACAGCTGCATAATGTTCCACTCCTGGAGCAATCCCGAAATCTTGTGTCATGCTATTGAAGTACTTCCAAGCTTCATCAACTAATCCAGCATGGCTACAAGCAGTTAATACAGACATGAAGGCCACATAATTTGGCTTTATTCCTTCTGTTTCCATTTGTTCAAATAAGTCAATAGCATCAAGAGCATGCCCGTGCAAAGCATATCCCATAATCATGGCAGTCCATGATACCATGTCTCGTAATCTCATCCTGTCATAAATCTGCCTGGCCGTTCTAATGTTACCGCATTTTGCATACATGTCGATTAGCGAACTTGCAATGAATATGTTGTCATCGAAGCCATTCCTTATGATGTATCCATGGAGCTGCTTACCCAGATGCAATGTTGTCAAGTGTGCGCAAGCCGGCATAATACTTGAGAAGGAATAGCTCTTGGGCTTGATTTTAGCCATCAACATTTGGTGGAAAAATCTCAGACCTTCATCAAATAGACCATTTTGCACACACCCTGCAATGATAGAGTTCCATGAAATCCCATCACGCTTAGTCAAGAGACTAAATACCCGACACGAATCCGATACTCGTGTGCACTTCGCATACATATCAATTAAGCTGCTTGCAACATATCCATCTGCATCAAAACCCTGTCTTATGGCCCATCCATGAATCTCTTTTCCTCTACTGATATCTGCATATTCTGCAACAAGTGGAAGCACACTAGAAAGAGTGAAGGAATCAGGCTTCAAATTAGCATCACCCATCGCTCTAACCATCGTTAAGGTTTCTTCATACAGACCATTCCTAGCATTTCCTGCAATTACTGTGTTCCATGAGACAAGATCCCTTTCGGGCATCATCTCAAAGATTTTTCTCACGGTATCCTCACTTTGGCGTCCTTTTGAATGAGAAATATCCTTGATTTGTGGCCCAAGATTGCAGGCTTCCAAGTCCCTAAATTTCTTGCTGTGTTTGCAGTCTGTTTCAACAATGTGTGTTTCAAACTCCCTTCTTCCACAAGAAACATCATAATGAAATGCTTCAGTGTCACTCCCCACACTACCAACTAACGCAGAGGAAGTTCTACCAGTCAGTGTTCTTTCAGTCATTTCGTCGAACACCTCGCCCGTACCAAGTCTCTGCCTCCCAGTCTCCCGCAGAAATCGCAGTTTCGAATACATATTCATCAACGCATTACCAGTATACAAATCAAAATCCAAGCCTACCCTTAAGATGTACCCATGAACGGACTCCCCCAAACGCAAATCCATAAGCAATGCACAAGATTTTAGAACAGAAGGGAAGACATTGTGATCCGGGTATAGCCCAGAGGCCAGCATTCCAATAAAAGAAGCCAAGGACTGATGAGGAAGGCCATGAGAAGTGTAGCAACGGATGATAGATTTCCAGGCGAGAGGCGGAGGGAAGTGAAGGGTGTTGAAAAGACGGAGTGAATCATCGAGAAGATTAATGTGGGAGTAGAGGGATAGAACAAGCGAAAGATTGGGAAGAGATAAAGCTTGAAATTTGAGCACCTGGGCATGGAGTTGTTGAGCCTGTGATCTGGATTTGATGGCACTGGGATTCTTAAGGAGAGATTTTACCAGAGCTTCAGTTGAAGTCCTCATACGTTACCGACGTTGTATAGCGACCTGAGCTTCAGTCGGCATCTGTGCTTGTTCTCGCTGAAACACACACCATTCAACTATATTATTCAAACTACGGACAACCTCACTACTTTACGTATACATTGAGAGATTCCATTAATCCCAACTTTAATTTTAAATAAATGCTTAAAACCTTCAAACTATCTTAAAATGTGCCTAAGTCACCATTTGTCTCTCAACCCACTTATACAGTGCTTCTTAAATTGAACTTAAACACGGCTTAAACGCCATTCCAGGCCAAAATGTAGCTCAATGCGCCATAAAGTCTCTAGCTTTCACTCCTTCTCGAACCTATAAAGTAACAAAAACCATCGAAAAGAGCTTAAAGTGGACTTTAAGATGTGTAAGCCTACCATTGAAACATAGTCCAATAGGGAAAAATGATAGTAAATAAACCAGTGGTGGAGATTAAAAAGTTGTAGCACGACCCAAAGATGTTGTAGAGATATTAGCTGGGTCGGTGTTGCATATTGCATTTAATCCAAAGGTAAAATATTTTTCTTTTTTAAAATTTAACCATTATTATCACCCTACTATTAAAATAAATTACCCAATAATTTGATTATATTAATATTATATTAGTAGCATCTCCATAGTATTAATGGGTAGGTAAATGTGTCCTCCATAATTAATATTCATGAATTACCAGATTTTTTTTTTTTTTCTAGAATGTAAATTACATAAATTTTGAAAGAGAGAGAAAAAAAATTGAGTTCCAAGCAACAACTATTTTGTAATAAAATCAAAATGAATAAATATTGGAAGAGAAGTCTTTGGCTGCCATATAAGACCACAATTTTGAATTATTTATTTATTTATTTATTAATACTTTAATACTTTAATTTGATGAAAAACCATATCAGGAGATCTCCATGAATCATGGGAACCCCATCCGACCGAGTCTTCCACTACAAAATTAATTAAATAATAAATACGATAAGTCAAATTTTGCCTTTTCTTTTTCTTTTTTCAACAAAATTTTCCTTTTCACACACTAAAAGATTTACAAAATTCCATGTGAACGGTATCATATTTCAATAAATAAATAAATAAATAAATAGTAAATTTCTCGCATCTAAAGCAATCACAAATATATTCACAAAGTCTAATAATTTATAACATGCAAATTAGGAATTAATCACCCAAATAAAATGTACTTATCCTATAATTATACATTTTTTTTGCCTTGCTTATATTTTCAAAAAAATATATTATTATTTTTAAAATACTTAAAAAATATCGCACGTCTTACAAATACACAAGAATTTCAAGCATTCTTAAAATTGAGTATTTGATTAATATTTTTCCCCGTTTAATTATATAAACTCTTTTAATCTAGTTTTTTAGATTGACTTAAATATTTTTTTTAAAATTTAAGCTAAAACATGATTTTAAAAAAATTAATTAATAATTCAGAAGGAATATTAATCATTCCAAATGAGAGTGGGAGGTTGGATTTTGCATGCGCATTGAAAATGGTAAGTTTTTATTATTTTTCTTTTTTTTTTATAAAGGTAACTTAAATCCAATTTAATAAATGTTGAAAATCACTTACTAAATTACTTTATTAAAATTCGCACAAAATTAACAAGATATTACATAATTTTTTTTATAAAAATAAAAACTTAGGTATTAGGTGTTTTAATCTACATTTTTTAAAATAATTGTTGTAATTAAAAACATTTAATTGTATAATTAAACATTGATTAGGTATTATCCCTTCATGAATCAAAAGTCCAAAGTCTAATAATTACAATCATTAGAGCTCAACTATGTGAGAATTATTATTATATAACCCAACAAATGATATTGCGACTTAAATTTTCAAATGTGCGCAATAAAAAAAAATTAATAAAAAATAAGATTATCCATAAATAAATAAAACCACGTAATGAATGACAAACAGTGAAGTCAGGTTGAATATACCCTTTGATGCATTTACAAATATTAATATATATATATATAATTAATTAATTAATTATGAAAATAATAATAAAATAAAAAACCATATAACCCCCCCCCCCCCCCCCCCCCCCCCCCCCCCCCCCCCCCCCCCCCCCCCCCCCCCCCCCCCCCCCCCCCCCCCCCCCCCCCCCCCCCCCCCCCCCCCCCCCCCCCCCCCCCCCCCCCCCCCCCCCCCCCCCCC